TGTAATCCGATGACTGGATTAGGCCATCAATTGGTTTACCCTAGTTTCAGGTAAAAGATTTACTGAAGAAAGAAGCCCTACCCTAGGTAAGAGTGGCATCAACCAATAGGCTTGCAGTCTGGATAGAATAAAAGGGAAAGCACAAGAAAGGCTGCCGCTGCCGGACTACCCTGCTGCGGACTGTTTCTCTTCTGCCATGCCCCTCTGCAGTGTGGCCCTGGCTTGGGGCCAGCCTGTTGTGGACTGAAACCTATGTAAGCTGTGAGCTAAAGTAAACCTTCCCTCCTTAATCTGTGTTTTAGGTGAGACACTTAACTCAAGAACTTTCACCTTTTCATGTGAAGGGAGTACTACAGATTTTCTTAGGCATGTCTTAATTGCTAGTGTCATCACTTATACATGTTGGAGACCGTTGTTATGTAAAATAAGGGTCATGTGAACATGGGCACTGCAGTCCTCTAGCTATGGATTTGATAACAATCAGGATGGCTGCTAAGCGCCCATCAAATGGATAGCATATAGAGCATGGATGTGCTAGACAAATGAATGATTCCCAGTGTAGGCACAACAGAGTGAGAGCATTTGAGACTACATTACACTTTTCAAAATGGTGTACAGTTTAATACTTAAGAATTATTTATTTCTGGAATTTCCCATTTATTATTTTCAGATGAGGGTAGCTCAAACTACAAAAAGTAAAACCACAGGTAAAGGAGAAACTATACGTCTCTCATATGGTTTTCTATGCCTACTGTCCCATCCCCTCAGCTGTTTTAATGTTACATCTTTTTAAGTGTAAGATGCATCTAGTGTTGGTTTTGGGGTTGTTTTTTCTTTGCTTTAAGAAAAAACTGTTCTTTTGAAATGGATTGGTTTAGATAGAGCCCATCAGCTATCAAATGAGAATACTTTTAGTTGGCAGGTAATACAGCTGATGGAAATTTAAATGACCTTGGGAGTAACTTAAGTGTCCAAATTTATACAGCGTTTAACTAGATGAGGTTGCTCATATCCAATACTTTGTAAGTTGCAAAATTGGCAGTTTCATCACATTCATCCTGAGCTAATAGATAGCAAGACCTAAGCAGTACTGTTAAGAATCTCAGAAGACAAGAGATGCAGGTAGTTTTTACTCTGTCAGAGAGAAGGGATTCTCTGGGGTTGTAATCAGAAAGCTGTGTCTGATGAAGTGTAATCACGGTAATGGGGGCATCTTTTTTCTGTGTACTTTACCTCAGACCTTTGACTTTCTATTTCAGCTTGTTCTGGTCCCAGCGCATTATGTGGATGTGGGGGCAGCAAGCTGTATTTCTATTGTGAATCATATTGGAACTTCTGCCCCTGGTTTTTTTTTTTTTTTTACCTTTTTGTTGTAATTATGTGTGAGGACATCCATCCTTAGTTTCATCTTTTAATTAGAGAGAAGTGAGGTGAAAGAAGCAAACTAATCTGTGTGTCTCAGGGTGGACTTGGGGAGCTCCCCTCAAACCCTTCTGTTCCTGTCACTGGTAACTGCTGTTGCCAGCCTCTTTCTACTGTTCTGTTATTAGGTTACAGGTCCTCAGTAGGGTTCCACTGACAGCTCTTGGTATTGTTGATTATTGCTAGTAGCTATGATTGATGTTTCTGGCTTAGTGCACTTAGGACTTAAAGATGAATTTCTTTCTTTCATCTCTATATGAATCTCCAGAGGCTTCACAATGGCTTTTTCCATACACTGTGACACCCTTTACAGCACTGTCACCGAAAGCTCAGAGCCTTGACTTTGCCACCCTGTGATTTTGCACCTAACTCACTTATTGCTGGACCTGCCATTCTTTAAGTCTGTGCTTAAACTGTTGCAAATCATTGTTCTATGATTAGCTATACCTGAAAGTCGTTTAATCTTTTCTCCCTAAAAGCAGAACAACAGTGTTGCCCCTAGTTTATGTGTAGTTATTTTCTAGGCTGGATATTAGTAGCACAAAATACCTCCATCCTTGGGAGTGCTACATGAGGAAATCTGAATGCTTGCTCCTTCCCAGAGCCGCTGCTGGAAGGTCTTTCACTTTTTTTTTTTTTTTTTGGTGGTCTGAAGATGCCTTGAGGGCATCTCTGGTTTCCTGTGAGAAACTGGGTTCCAACCAGAGCATCTTGAGCCTGACTGTTTGTTTAAGCAGGCACTGAAACAACTGAGCTAATGGGCAGGGCCCCTCTTTTCTGACTGAACATGTGAGTGTGACTATAGTCACACTTAGTGTGACACTGCGTGTGACAACTAATTTGTGTGTCTCAGGGTGGACTTGGGGAGCACCCCTCAAAAAATGCATACATTCCTGTTGTTTCTACCCTTATGAGTGGGACTGCTGGATCCTATGACAAGTATAAGTTCATTCATATTCATAATAGATTTGAAAATCAAAGGTAAGAGTGTAGCACTCTTAGCGCCCTGACAGAAGCCAGTCTGCTCATGGACCACATAAGAGAATGACAGAACCACCCCCTGGAGCAGGGTGCTTGCCAGCTTCCAGCATCACTGCATCTGGGAAGCACTCTGGCCGCTGAAACCTAGGCCAGGCAGAGGTGAGAATATGGGAGATCATGCTTGTGCTAGCGAGACCAGCTTTCCGAAGACGCTTTGCTCTCTGGAGCCATATCACCAGTCGTTGGTGGAGAGAAGGCATGCATGCCTTATGCTTGCTTAGTAGCTATCTTATCTCTAATGCTGCTATTGTTATTGTGTGCTTTTCCACTCATTATTACATTCACCGTGGAAACCTGTTCAGTATCACATCTGTGTGTGTTTGCTGGGATTCACAGCCTCAGAGAAACACAGCTTCTTGGCTACCTTAATGGCCAAGCCAGGATTCAAGCTTAGCGTCTTCTCTTAGTGCCCATGATCCTTTGCTTTACCTTGAACTTCTGTTAAATTTGAATGCCAGCCCCAGAATTGAAATATTGGTGAGAAAATAAAGAACCCATCCCTGGGTGCTAACTGCACCTACTCCAAGGATTCTCTGCTTTGTTAGGAAAAGCACTGCAGTGTGAAAGGAGCAAGTGTCTCTCTGATGGACACTCAACTTTGAAATAGGACAGTAAAGCCATTAGCAGCACCTAGTAGGCAGTGAAAAGATGGGCAGAAGAGTTGACTGGACACTTCCTAAAACTGACCGGATGGTCAGTGAGTTTGTGGAAAGACGTTGACTCTCATTTGTCATCAGAGAAATACAAAGATGACCACTACACATTGCTACATCTCCACCAGCACTGCTAGATGGAAAAGCCCACAGTACCAAGTGCTGGTTAGGCTCTGGAGCAGCCAGAATCCTCAGCCACTTCTGGCACTTGGTAAGACCACTTTGGAAGACTTACTAGTAGTTCTGAACACAAATGAACTTACACCTGTCACAGGACCCAGACTTTCCACTCATAAAGGTAGAAACAACAGGCACATATGTATGCGTGTGCCCACTAGGAGACCTGTATGGAAATGTTTACAGATGCACAGCTCCTGACAGCCAAACACTGGAAATGAAGAAAGAGCTCAGTGACAAAAGAGTAAGCCAGGAAGTTGTAAAAGCTTCATGTAAGGGAATACTATACAGAATTAAGAATGATTGAATTGGGCTGGCCAGATAGCTCAGTGAATTAAAACACCTGCTTAGGCAGGCACAGGGACTAGGGTTTGATCCTCTCATGCCATGCTGGCCCCACCCACCCCAGGGGTGTGCTGAGGTGGTGATTGAGACTGGGCGTGGTAGCACATGCCTGTAATCCCAGTGCTTGGGAGGCTGAAAACAGGAGGAACACTGTGAGTCCAGTCTGTGTAGTGAGACCCTGTAGACCTTGTACTAAAACACTGAAAACAAACCAAAAAAAGAATGAGTGAATTATTGCTAAATACAGCAGCACACGCAGATCGTACAAATGGGTTGTTGAGCATGAATGGTGGGTGGGCATGAGTGACTGAGGGAATGGCTGAGCTTCAGGGTTGCTAGCAGGGTTCCATTTTTTGTAGAGGGCATTGTGAGTTTGCATATTCCTCAGGTTGTTCTCTCACTGTAGGTACACTGCTCAGTATGTCTGATATATCTCAATATGATTTTTAAAGTCTGATATATACAAGTACCAGTCCTTAGGGTTTGACTCTTGCCATAGCAATATAAATTTAAATCAACTTAATGATTAGCACAGTATAAAATAGGAATTTTGTGGCAAGGTGTGACCTATACATTGTAGAAGAAATGTTCTTTTTCCCCTTTACTAAATACTCCATTGGCTTCCATTTGTCTAGCTCTGACAATTCAAGATTGGGAGGACATTGTACACTCTGTGTGTAGCACTGTTACTACTGCTTAGCTTTTACTCAGCCAAGCAGCACTGCTCAGGCAAGGTTTCACCAGATTAGAGTCCTTGCTAGCCCAGGAATCTGCAGTATATCTTATGGTCATGATTTTTATAGCCTAAGGAAAAAGCATACGAGAAATGACTGAAATTTCAAGATTGGCTAAAGCTAGTTCAGTGCTGTCACTTTGTAGGACAGAAGGTGAAAGTTTTCATTGGAATATCTTTTCACATGGGCAGTCTTCAGTGGCAATAATTGTGGCGAAAAGGCAGCATGGGATATTCGTAGGGCCTCAGCAGTGTTCTGCAAGTGACTTTTACAAAGTGTTAGGCTAACATGTAAGCTGGGTTTTCAAATTCTTCTTTCCACATAACTGTAACTAAATTGTAATAAATAAGGGAACTAGAAGAACAAACTTGTGTTTTAATGAAGCACTCTTGACTCATCCTTCCTGAGCTTCCCCACCCACTGCCCTGTCACTTGCCCATTGAGGACTCTGACTTTCCACTGCCTGAGCTGCTTAGAGGCACAGTAAGTGAGTCCCAGAGCAAAGCAGGACCATCATCTGTAATTTCCAGCCCCTTTTTCTTTTCATCCCATGACAGAGATTGCAGATGGTAATAGCCCAAAGATCACAGGTATAATACTAATGAATCTTCTAAAATGTGTGTTTCAGCTTGCCGCCCTTGAATTCCCTCCAAAGAAATTATTTGGAAACAAAGATGAACGTGTGATTGCTGAGAGGCGAAGTCACTTAGAGGTAACAGAATTAAGCTTTTGTTTTTCTCTGAGTAGAGAGAATTTGCCATCTGACTGGCTGGTAAGAATCATTCCTATTTGATACCATTGTTTCTGCTCATGATGGAAAATTGCTGCTTCATTAACACAGGAGATGGCAGCAGAAGATTATAAAGCAGTGGTATCAGAAATACAAGTACATACCCCTTCTGGTCTAGTGGGACATTTTTATAATTTTTGAGCTCATTTGTCGTGAGGGTTAGGAAGCAAGATGTGAGAACTAAATATTCACCACAGACAGATGGCCTGTATTGTAGAATGAGGGTACAAACTTGATGCAAAAAACCCTGGAATTAATTAACTACAGATTTACAGTATTGCATCATTGTTGCTTTTTCAAAGATAGTTAGAAGTAAAAAGGCATATACCTATTTTAGTCATGCTAGTCTTTGTTGGACTTATTATATCTTAAATCTGCCAAGCTAGCTACACATAGAACTCAGTTTAACCAAACTTGTTTTTCTGACTGCCTTCCTGGCAGTATGCATTGTTGGCTGCTATATTTAGTTTGTATTTCTTTTTGGGATAGATAGAATTGCTTACTCGGTTGCAATCTGAGTCTTTGTGCCAAGGTGTGGACCACCTGTCTGCTCTGAAAACGGTAGTATCACAGGGTATGGTCACAAGTCACTCTCAGCTGTTGATCGCTCCCTTGCCATTGTGAGCCACTGAATCAGACAAGTATAAAATACAGGTAGCTCCCTCCAGTCTAATGTCCACAGCTCTACAAGGGCTTCTCAAAGCTTCCTTTACTACTTTAGGAGGAATCATCATAAGACCTGTTAAACTTGAAGCCAAATGAGAAAAAGTTTCAAAGAGCCTTTCTCCATTGTGAAGTGCTACATAAAAATTAAGCATTATTCTCAATTCTCACAATGGCCAGTTGAACATACCTGCCTGTGGGGTTCACTTACTGCCAGAGAGGCAAGAATTAGGGAACTGCCTGGAGGCCAGAGCTTCCTTGAGAGCAGAAAGAGACATGGAGAACTTGAAGACTGGGACATTGCTGCCCATGAGAAACACTTTAGAGTTTTGAGACCCTTGATACAGAACTACTCTAAGGAAGTGGACAGCTTTTAGCAAGATGATTGAAGGCATTTGAACTAGATTACAAAGTTATACATGTGAAGGTCCTGGAACTAGCAAGCCTGGGCTTTGGAAGGGTCATTGCAGGGTTTCAAGGTTCATCCTGTAATGGATGACGTGACCCTAACACCTAGCTGAAGAATTTTCCCTCAAGTAAAATTAATGTTAACCTGCATGATCAAGTTCTCTCACAGGTTTGAGTTAACCACATAAAAATTTTAGAAAATAATCCTAGAATGAAGAATGGTTTTAGTTACTGAACCCTTATTTGCCTCAGTTATGAAGTCATCTTTAATGGCTAGGGAAATGGAAGTTTATGAAATTGTTTTCTTGACTAACAGAAAACAATTGTCATCCATACTTTCTCACTGCTCTGAAGAAACTTACACAGTGTTCTTGTGCATAGCTTGTTTGTGAGCTCAGCACTGAGTGATGCTTGGTTTTCCATTCCACCCACCAGAATCAGGGCAAAAGGTAAGGCAGTCCTTCGTTGTTGCTACTTTCTAGAGAGGCTCACTTCTGTTCCTTCACAACTTAGCCTTACTAAGTCACCAAGTGTCAGTGAGCAGAGTTAGTATCTCTGCCTTGTCAGCTTTCCATTATAGTGTAATACTTGGCTAATCAACTGTAAAAAGGAACCATTTACTGCAGCCTCATTTGGCAAGTTTCAGCCCTGCTTTACTGGCCCTTGCACTTTTGGGCTTGTGGCAAGGCAGCACATCATGGTGAGAGTGCATAGTGGAGGAAAGTGCTTACCTCTTGGCAGCCAGGAAGCAAAGAGAGGCAGGGGTAGGCTTCAGTCCCAGTGTCCCTGTCAAGGGCACACCTCAGTGACCTGATTTTCTCCTAGGAGGCTCAGTTTCTGTTTCCCTCGTCTCCAGTGCACTGAGCTGGTGAGTAAGCTTTTAGCCTTTGGAAATGCTAAGGCAAACCACAGCACTGCCTGTATGCTAGGGTTCCTTGGATTGCCTGTGATGTCACTTACATGTGCCATTAGCCTTGATAGAATGCATTCCACACCTCCGGGAAATAGGCACTTAGATTGGAAGATAAATGCATTTCACCTAATGTTGAGTGTTAAATCTTAGAACATTATCTTCTCTTCAGTGAGCAAGTGTAGTTCACCTTCACTTTAATGGAAAATTAATCTGATATTCTTGTGTTAATTTCCTGTGACTATTGTGACTTTTCTTTTGATCTTCTAACATTGGAAGTTGCTGCTTGCCTACACTGTGGTCTATTTTCATGCGAAAACTAAAAAGCTAGTTTCCTTGAGCCTCTTACATGATTTAACACAACAAACGTTTATTTAATTCCTAACACATGCTGGAGATAGTGCTAGGTGTTACACAGAATGCAAAGAGACGTGAAACATTTCTTTCCTGTTGAGAGCATATGTTTAAATCCCTTGTAAATGAAGTTGTGTCTGGAGGTATAATATAAATACATAGGCACATATAGAAGGTGATTTCAAGCAGGATGCATTGCACTAGCTAACATAGTGGATCTCTGCTTAAAAGAAATCATCTGACACATTTTACAATCCAAAACTAGTTTGTAAACCTGCTCAGCCAAACAGAGCTATATAAAGCAGTATTTATACAACAATTTCATTGTGGTTTTGATCTTCCTTGCTATTGAAATATTTTCAAGATTTGGACGTTGTTGTTGAATTTATCAACAAGAATTACAAAATGTTACACATTAAGTATAAAGACACTATTTCAGCACTTTCCAAGTTATAAAAGTTAATTCTGTTAAAATAATTATTTTGGAAAGTAATGAGTAAGAGGAGAAATTCTGTTAGAAGATCCTTAAGAGATTAATTTTTTTACCATGGACAAGGGAATGTTAGCTATGCTGCTGGTGGTGGTGATGGTGGTGTGGGGGCTAGGAATGGTAGCACTATGTGATGGTAAGTGGAGGAATATAAATGGGGCCTTCAGTACTAAAGTATTGATAATTTCGTGTCAGCTCCACCCATGCAGTATTATCTGGCCAATATTTGTTTATAGCTAGAGCCAGTTTTTATGGAATTTGGCCTATGATTAGACATTGTAGCTAAATGCTCTTTCATAGACGCTTGACTATTTCTAACTTGGATAGATTGTGCTGTCTCTGTCTTGCTGCCCGGGGGAACCAGATCCCTGTAACTGTTATATTGAGGGCCAGAGCTGCCTTCAGGTATGGGAGGTTTCTGCTCCCATTACACGCCAAGTGTCAGCTGCTACCTAGGCAGCAGGCATTGCTAGTCCTGACAACAGCCTAAGAGACATGTGGGTAGATAAAGCAATGGAGATAACAGGAAGAGCATCCCGTCAGTCTCTGCCTGATGCGTTGTTTTTAACAAAGAGATGATTTTCAAGTGTACTTGAAACTATACGCTGCTGGGCTGAACCTAGGACACTGTGTGGTTGTAGCTGAGAAAGGAGGAAATGTCACAGATTTCATACACTTTTCCCTAATGCCTGATTCCTCACACTTGGGATTTAGTCAGTGCTAAGTATGAGGGAAAGATGTTTGCCATGTCATGGTGTCTACTCCTCCCAACCATCCCGTGAGGTAAATCGTATGAGTATCTCTTTTCTCTGGTGAGGAAATGCTGGGGATTTTGTGTTAGTCATGTTGTTGCACTGTGATAGAATACTGGGAAAGTCACCTTAAAGATGGTAAGATTTCTTTTGGCTTAGAGTTATAGCAGTTTCAGTGCATAGTCAGGCAAATTCATTGTGTGGCCTGAGGGGATGCACAGTGCCAAGGCAGAAGGATGTGGTGGAACAAAGCTGCTCACCTTGTTGACATGCTAAAGCAGACAGGGAGAAGGGCCATCGAGGAAGCTCACAGAAATCCTCAGTGTGCCGCTTCATCCACTTAGGCCCAGCCTCCTAATAATCCCCTACCATATGAACGTGCCAGTGGATGATGCCTTGATGAATTTACAGGCTTCATGCTCCACACACTTCCCAAAAGCCCCATGCCTGCGCCTTGAGTCTTGGAGGACATATTGTATCCAAGTTAGAGGAGCAAAGTCCTGGGGAGAATAAAGGTCCCCTGAGTAGTAAGAGGCAAAGCTGCAGCCCGTTTGCAGGTGTTGTCCAGAACAAGGCCCTTGTCTTGATCGGCCTACTCTCAGTGTAAAATGAATCTTCCTGTAAAGTAGCATCACATCTGTTGGAGAAACATCATATTTCAGGGCTGTCATGCAATGTAAGCTAAGATCCGGTGCCTGATTATTTATTTTGCATTGTATATAATGGGTGCAGCCAGCACTGAGGACCTGCTCTCCACCAGGCAGTGTTCTGGAACCGCAGGCGCCCTGGTAGCTACATAGAGGCCTTTTTCCTGTCCCTGAGTAATCCTAGCTGTAAGGGCGGGCTTGGATCATAATAGAACATTGTTTTGCTGAAGGAAAGATGTCTGTGGTGGTTATGAGTATTAAATTTTCACTTTACAGATAAGAAAATTTTTCAGATCTTAATTTTTCTGTTTTTTTTAAAGGTATAAGGTAGCACATTGTTTCCATGCAGATTTACAGTGAGAGTATGTCAATTTTATGAAAGTAATCCCTTGTGAATTACTGAAGAGTATTATCGTAGATATCATTAAAGAAAGTTATTGCACTAAATATCATCTGCATTATATGAAATAGATATCCCGATCCTCAGTCGAGCAGCACGGGTTGAAGTGCTGTGACACCTCACGCCTACTTGAAGGTTGCTGCCACCTCTCGCTTGTGTGGCTCAAATCTTCCCTATCGTTCTCAAATGGCTTGATCTTTAGTCTTCCACAGTACTTCCCACGTGCTCCAGCTTCACTGAGTTAAAACAAAATCTGCCCAAGTTAGCCTCCAATTGATGAGATTTTTTTTTGTTTGTT